TTCTCCACGCAAACGCAGGATGCGAAGTTTCAGACATCCTTTCGAAGTTTCGATTTAGTTTGGAGAGGGCGGCGGGTGCATCCTCATGCAGTTAATTGCAAATTCAGCAATCACCGTCCGTACATGACTTTACAGATCGCGTAAGCCAACACAAGACTGTCCCTAATGAATCGGTTTTGGTACGATGCCATCGACGTTGTAATCGATCAATGCGTCGCTACTCCAACCCGTGTCGAACTTATAATAAAGCAAATCAAAACGGAAGCCGGGGATCTTAATCGTCGTTCCTTCGTGCTTCCCTGCGGAATTTCCAATCGCTTGATCAGGCGCCAGGGAAATTGAATTTTTTTAATGGAAGAAATACACTGTTTCCTTTGCATCAGTAACGTATTAATCGACATAATATATTGCCAGCCTTCGCACAATATAAATCTTTTATTATAACTTTAGTGAGATCCCGATAATATATAATTAAGAGCAGAACACAAAATGAGATTTTTATGTGAAAAATATTTTATTCCACGTTGCGTGCAGAATGCAAAAGAAACACAATATATAATTTTAAGTACAATATTTTAACTTACTTACTGGCAAGATTTCAACGATCGTGATATCATTATATAATTATATATACTGTATATATTATATATAGATATTATTTTGATAGATACAATCTTTTTTTCGTGTAGTCAATTTTGTACTACGTTGGAACTGCTATGGCAGTGATACGCATTAAAATTTTGCCACGAAACTATTATCTAAAACTGTGAAATATGATATTATTTTCCAGTTAAAATCTGGCTTATCGACACGAAAATTTGCTAAATAGTTTACTGTTAACCAGGTAGTAGTACATAAAATATAGAAATAATATTGCAATGATGTTTCCACATTTTTTGGAGGTCATCCAAAATTATTATCTTGCCAGGATAAGCGACGATTAATAAAGACAACATACTTCAGATGTTGCTATGATAGTATCAGTGGCTGCAAAACTGTTGAATAGTAATATTGGAAAGAAAATAAGCAAATAGACAGCTCGAGGAACACTAAAAGAAGTTAACTTTGTATAATTAGAAACAAAAAATAAACCTACCTTTTCAAAGAAGAATATAAAAGCCTGTTTGAGTTTTGTAAGAAAATACAGTAGCGGACATATATTACATTTAAGACCACTTGAAAAACGGTGTAATTTTTTTTTAAACTGGACTAAATGACTTGAATTTTCTTTAGGTGATAGAGGGATCAGCCTACTAGACAATGACTCTAATACTTCTTTTTCAATTTTGCTATTACTTCGAATGAGAAAAAAAATTAACAAACTCATGTTTTTCAACATTTTGTAAGAGATTAAAAAACACAAAAATCGCAGGTTTGTTCTGAATTTTGACACTTTCAATCAATAAGTGTGAGAAATCTGCAGCTTTTAAAATCTTTTGACGCTTGTAACTTGATTTTGCATTAACCAATTTTGATAAAATTTTCAGCATCCATAGAACTTATCAAGTTCTACAAAATGCATTTTATAAATTTTCGTTACAGGCTCAGATAAAAAACATCGCAAAATTGAAAAAAAAGTATTAGTATTAGATGAGTGTAAAATTAATTATTATTAGTGTAAAATTATTTGTCACGTCATATAAAACAAATATTTAAATTTGGCGGTGGTTCAGTTATGATACAAGGTTGTATTACGGCGTATGGTGTAGGTCCACTGTATCGAATTGAAAGTACAGTGTCTAATTACTAAATTTCTTTCTCTTAAGTCATTCCAGTTTCCTTTAACGATGATTTAGTGTTAACACGGCGAAATCAGTTCATTTATTCTGCAGAAATATCAATGAGAATATCAGTGTAAACCAGACTTAAAACTGACAATTAAATCACCGTATAATTTTGGAGAATAATTCCACAATTATCTCACATAATTACCTCGAATAATTATGAAATAAGATAATATGTTATTACAAATAATGTTTCAAATAATGTCATTTCAAAAGTGACCACGGACATGGAAACAACTATGAAATAAGATAACATATTGCTTGAAATAACATTTCAAATAATGATATTTTAGAGGTGATCACAGGCATGGAAATAATTGTCAGATAAGATAACACGTTGTTCGAAATAATATTTCAAATGATGCTATTTCCAATGTGTCCAGGCCTGCTTGTAATGAATCCGATTTTCAATCGTTCGACGATCGAGATCACATTGTTCGTCAATTTGCTCGGTTCCGGCTATAGTCGAACTAAGGAATTCATTGTATGATAAACCAGGATAAACATCAGGGATCTCGTTACGAGCAAAGATTCCAATTTATGCGAGAGCATCGTGTAAACGCCTCGCAATTACGGAGACCATTCGCTCGCGTCGTCGTCGCCGACTCGCAAAGCAGAATTTATCGGGGAATACCGCCGTGCCGCGAGAGAGAGAGAGAGAGAGAGAGAGAGGGAGAGAGTTCTGCAATCGTGTAAGCCGAACCGGTGATGAATCGGATCGATCAGTGTCTGCGTATGCCGGGACCACATATCGAAGACGACCTCGCCTCGCGGAACTAAAGCAATCTGGGATTCGATTCCGTAATGTCCTCTGACGCCGTAGGTATCACCGCTTTTTAACTGTTTGCAAATCAGCTGTTATACTATTACGGTCGAACATCGGAATTCGGTTCGCGAATGATCAGATTGTTTAATGATTTAACGGCGCGACAATACCGCGTGTCATAATTATAATATACAACAGGCTACAAAATTATTTGCTCACCTTTCAAAACGCAATAACTTTTTGAGAACTGAACTAAATGATTTGCATTTTTTTTTAGATGACAGAGGGACGAGTCTATTAGACGATGGCTAAAAAGCTTTTTTTTAATTTTACCATTACTTGGAATAAAAAAAATTAAAAACCCTCGCTTTTTAACTTTTTTATCTGAGCCTATAACGATAATTTAAAAAATGTCGTTTGCAGATCTCGGTAACTTATGTGCACGCTGAAAATTTGATCGGAATCGGTTAAACCAGAGCCGAGATACAGGCGTTGAAGGATTTTAAAGTGCAGATTTCTAACAATTTTAGGTCAAAATCATAATAAAACTGCGATTTTTGCGATCTTTAATTTGTTGTAACTCGTAACAACGTGAACCGATTTCGATAAAATTTTCAACACGCATGTAAGTTACCGAGATCTACGAGAGGTATTTTTTAAATTTTCGTTATAGCAAGATTTAAAAGAAAAAGCATTTCAGTCATTGTCTAATAGGCTAGTTCTTCTGTCATCTAAAAAAATGCAAATCATTTAGTTCATTTCATTTTATTTTATATATTATGTATATATATTGTATTTATATTTATTTGTATTATTATGTGTTATTATATATATATAATAATAATACAAATTATATACATAATAATAATACATAATAATACAAATAAATATAAATACAATATATATACATAATGTACAAAATAAAATGAAATGAGCTAAATGATTTGCATTTTTTTAGATGACAGAAGGACTAATAAATTATCACAAAATCAAGGCTTGTTTGACTGTTTATTTTGTGATAATTTATTTTTTTCCACGTGACTCATTAAGTTCTATAGAAAAT